TTAAGTATTTTAAAATATGTTTTACTGCAATTAAATGAGATTCTTTAGGACAAGCCTGAAATCTAGCACACACACAAACAGAATGCATAATATCAGGTCTACTAGCGGTTAAGTATAATAGTGATCCTATCATACCTCTATACATAGTTTGATTTACTTCCAAACCTGATTCATCCTTGTCTAAATAGCATGAAGTTCCCATGGGTGTGTTAGCTTCCTTTGAGGTGTCCATACCAAACTTTTTGAGGATCTCTTTGCAGTATTTAGTTTGAGAGATAAAAGTTCCATCTTTAAGTTGCTTGATTTGAAGTCCAAGGAAGAATGTTAATTCTCCCATCATAGACATTTCAAACTCTCCCTGCATAATCTTAGCAAATTCTACACACAAAGAATTATCGAGTTGATCCAAAAATAATATCATCAACATATACCTGGACCAATAAGATATGTTCTTTAACTTTCTTAATAAACGAGTGTAGAATCAATTTTTCCTCTTGAAAAATCATTTGCAGTTAGGAAACTACTTAATCTTTCATACCAAGATCTAGGAGCTTGTTTTAACCCATATAATGCTTTCTTTAATTTGTAAATATGATTAGGATTATTAAAATCTTCAAATCCAGGGGTTGCTCTACATACACTTCTTCTTTAATAAAACCATTTAAAAATGCACTCTTTACATCCATTTGATATAGTTTAAATTTCATCATAGATGCGTAAGCAAGAAGTAGGCGTATAGCCTCTAACCTGGCCACAGGAGCATAAGTTTCATCATAATCTATACCTTCCTCCTGACAATAGCCTTTTGCAACAAGTCTGGCTTTATTCTTTGTTATATTACCATCTTCATCAAGCTTATTTCTGAATACCCATTTAGTTCCAATAACTTGATGTGACTCTTCTCTTGGGATTAGTTCCCAGACTTGATTTCTTTCAAATTGGTTAAGTTCTTCTTGCATGGCTATGCACCATTGATCATCTTTAAGTGCTTCCTCAATGTTTTTAGGTTCAATCTGTGACACAAAAGCAACAGACATACAGAAATTATTCATATTTCTAGTTCTTACCCCTTTTGAGATATCACCTATGATATTGTCCATTGAGAGTCCTCTAGGTGATTGCCATTCTTTTGCTAATTGAGGAGTTTGAGAAGGCACATTATCTTTCAAGTATAATTCATCAAGGGCCTCTCTTATATATTCATCATCACCTGCAAGTCTTTTATTTGACTCAAGAGGATTTCCCCCAAGGTCTACAATCTCATCAAAGGCAACATGTATAGATTCTTCTATATTCAAAGTTCTTCTATTAAATACTCTATACGCCTTGCTAGTTAAAGAATAACCTAGAAAAATACCCTCATCGGCTTTTGAATCAAATTTTCCTAGATTGTCCTTTCCATTATTTAGTACAAAACATTTACAACCAAAAATTTTCAAATGTGCAACATTAGGTTTTCTACCATTAAACAATTCATATGGAGTAGATTTCATAATTGACCTAATGAGCATTCTATTTAAAACATAACATGCAGTACTAACCGCATCAGCCCAAAAATATTTAGGAACATTAGATTCATTTAACATAGTTCTTGCAAGTTCCTCTAATGACCTATTTTTCCTTTCAACTACACCATTTTGTTGGGGAGTCCTAGGAGCAGAAAAGTTATGTAATATACCATTTTCCTCACAATAATTCTCAAACTTTTCATTTTGAAACTCACCACCATGGTCACTTCTTAAAACTTTAATCCTTAGGTCTTTCTCATTTTGTATTTGTTTAGCAAACTTTCTAAAGACCTTAAAAGCTTCACTTTTCATAGATAGGAAAAATGTCCAAGTGTACCTAGAGAAATCATCAACAATTACAAGACCATAATAATTTCCACCAAAGCTTTTTATCCTAGAAGGTCCAAATAAATCTAAATGTAATAATTCTAGGGGTTTTGAAGTGGAAATCACATTTTTTGATTTAAATGATGATTTAACTTGTTTACCTTTTTGGCATGCATCACACAATCTATCTTTTTCAAATTTCAATTTAGGCAATCCAATAACTAAGTCTTTTGATATCAATTTATTCAAATGATGCATGTTTATATGAGCCGCTCTTTTATGCCATAACCAAGGATTCTCTTCCTTAGCAACTAAACATGTTATACTAGACTCATATAAACAATCCAAATCAATCAAATATATGTTGTTATGCCTAATGCCTTTTAATTCTACTATTTCGGAATCTACTAAATGTATGGTGCAAAATTTGCTTTCAAAAGTTACCTTGAATCCTTTGTCACACAATTGGCTTATGCTAAGAAGGTTATGTTTTAATCCATCAACAAGAAGCACATCCTTAATCTCCAATGTATTTGCACCACCTATATTTCCAATTCCGAGAATCTTCCCTTTGTTGTTATCCCCATAAGTCACATATCCTTGTTCTTTGGCTTTGAAACTTACAAATTTCGTTTTATTCCAAGTCATATGTTTTGAGCATCCACTATCAAGATACCACATAGACTTCTTTGATTTGGAAGTTTCCTACAAGAACATAGTAAACTTAGGTCCCCACAACTTTTGGGTCCTTGAGGTTAGAGACATAATAATCTATTTAAAATATCGCAAAACAATCTATTCTTTGGGTGTTTTAAGAAGTTCAAGCAAAACTGTTTTTATAGACTATTTTCAAAACTGCTGGTTTAATTAATCTGTTAAAAGTTTCTTTTAATTCGTTAAAAGTGCAGTTTTAATCTGTTAAAACATCTTTTAATCGATTAAAACGCAGTGTAGAAAAAGTTTTTAAGTTGTTTTAATCGATTGAAACGAGTTTTTAACCGATTAAAAGAGTTCTGATCGGTCATAATAAAAATCTGATCGGTCATCCTGACTCTGACCGGTCATAATAAAAATCTGATCGGTCATCCTGATCTAATCGGTCATAATAAAATCTGATCGGTCATCCTGACCCTTTAAGTGATTTTAATCGATTGAAACGTGTTTTTAATCGATTGAAAAATTTCTGATCAGCTCATAATTAAAATCTGATCGATCACATTTGCTTCTAATCGGTCATAATTTGATTTTGATCGATCATCCGACCCTTTAAGTAATTTTAATCGATTGAAACGTGTTTTTAATCGATTAAAATGTTTCTGACAGCTCATAATAACAATCTGATTGGTCAAAATGAGTTCTAAATGGTTTTAATCGATTAAAAACCAAGTTGTATCGATTAAAATGTCGTAAAAACACTTCTTTGACCACTCTAAGTGATTTTATTTGGTTCTTTCAAAACTCGCATCGATTAAAAACATGTTTTAAGAAAGCTTTTGTAAAAATACTTTATTTTGAGTTGTTTAAAACAATTTTAGAGGCTTCTCGCAAAAATCTTTAAGAGAAGAATCTTTATGCAATAGAAAAGATAAAATGATTTTACCTAAGCATTTTGTTTAAAACATACAAAATGATCCATTTTCTTTGAATAAATAAAAGAGACAAACAGATTTATTTAACTATTGGAACCCAAATATATTTACCTTTTGGAATACCAAAATGTTTAATTTTACACTTATTTGAAGTGTGACCTTGTTTCATACAATAGAAGCATGCATTTGGAGTAGCTTTAGAATAAGATACATTATTAACATGACATGCTCTAGTTCCTTTTTCTACCCATATTCTTTTCTTTTTAGATTTACTCTTTTTCAAAGGAACTCTATGATTTACATTATTTTGAGCAAAAACCATTTCATTCTTCCTAAGATCATCAATTTCTTTTTCGGCTTTGTCAAGCAAATGGTTAAGAATATCTATGTCATATTCATGCTCTTTACAATTTGCACAAGCTAAGTCCTTATTCTCATCTAAGCATACAATTTTCGTATTAGCTACCTCCTTTTCTTCTAAACATGCAATTTTCAATTTTAAGGACTCATTTTCCTTTTCCGATTTTCTTAGATTCTTCTTTACTACTTTATATTCCTTTTTCATATCCATAAATGCAGTAAATAACTCATTATAAGCATTTTGTAATTCATCATGATCATTTTCTTCACAAGAGGATGAATCGGAATCACTAACCTCAACATCCGAAGAATTGTTGTTATTTGCCATCAAGCAAATGTTTGCTTCAATTTCGAGTCGCTTGATTCTGAATTTGAATCATCTGTCATCCCAAGCAATATATGCTTTCTTCTTGAATTGCTTTTTGCCCTTATGTTCATCATTTTTCTTGTTTGGGCATTCGGTCTTCATATGCCCCTGCTTCACCACAACCAAAGCATTTTATATTAACGGAAGAATTTTCTTTTACCTTTCCCTTACCTTTGAAAGGATGTCTTCCTTTTGCTTTCATCATCTTGGTGAACTTCTTTATAAAAAGACTCATCTCTTCTTCATCAATTTCGGAGTCTTCTTCTTCTTCTTTCTTATTATTGCTTTTTGAAATCTCGGTTTTGAAAGCAAGGTTCTTCTTTTGATATTGACCCTCTTCCTCATTTAGTCTTCCAAGGTCAAGTTCATGCTCCCTAAGCTTTCCAAACAACGCCGCCATAGACATAGTGGCAAGATTTTGTGACTCCGAGATGGCCGTCACCTTTGGTTGCCATTTCCTATCCAGAGATTTCAAAATTTTAACATTTAATTCATCAACGTCAAAAATTTTACCTAGTCCGGTGAGATGGTTCACGATATGAGTGAAACGTTTTTGTACGTCAAATATCGTTTCGCCTGGTTGCATCCGAACATTTCGTACTCTTGAATTAGAGAATTTTTACGTGCTCTTTTGACGTCGTCGGTTCCTTCGTGGGTTACTCTAAGCATTTCCCACATTTCCTGTGCACTTTTACAAATAGAAATTCTCGTAGAACTCATCAAGGGTTAGAGCGAGATGAAATAATGTTTCTAGCCCTAACATCAAATTGTACTTTTCGACTTTCGTCTGCAGTCCATCTATCAAAAGGTTTAAGAACGTCAACACCGTTCTCGTAATTTTAGGAACAAATGGACCGTTTAAAATTGCGTCCCAAACACCTCTATCAACGGACTCTAAAAATATTTGCATACGTACTTTCCAAAAAGGATAATTTTGACCCGCAAAAAGTGGGGGTCTCGTTGATAGACGCACCTTCGGCAAAAGTTTGATTTTGTCCGGCCATTTTCGAAAAGTTTGAATGACTATCAAAGCAAGCTCGATACCACTTGTTAGAATCGCGCAGCGAATGTTCGCGTGGTCGGACAAAAACCAAGAGGGGGGTGAATTGGTTTCTTAATAAAAATTAGGTTTTCAAAATTTCCCCAAATTTTACCGATTAAAAACTGCGTAAATGTAAATAGAGAAGAGTAGAGAAGATTACACAAGTAGGTTTATACTGGTTCGGATCAAAAGACCCTACGTCCAGTTGCTAATCACTCAAAAGAGGATTAACGCCGTCACTAAGAACAAAGTTGTTACAACACAAATTATAATGAAAAAGATAAAGTTAAAGATAAAACCTCTCTTGAAATCCACAAGAGATGATAAACGACTTTCCCTGGAGACGGCACAGCACACAATCCACTAAGAACTCCACTTAGTGATTCTTATCGCTTCTAGCCTCACACCAAGTTTCCAAAAGCCCCAAAGAACGGCTTTCCCGGAGACGGCACAGCACTCAATCCACTAAGAACTCCACTTAGTGATTCTTATCGCTTCTAGCCTCACACCGAGTTTCCAAAAGCCCCCTTTCCTTGCAACAAACGGTTCTCGGCACTCACAGACACTTAACTTTTGTATGGAAAGAGTTGTTCTTTAGTTGTTCATTTTTTCTAAGTGCCAAAGCAGAGTTTAAGTAGGGAAATTAGGGTTTAGGATTTGGGGATTTCGAAACTAGGGTTCTTGGTAATTGGGTTTTCGAAAATAGGGTTTGTTTGAAGTTTAAAATCGAAAACAGATCGAAATAATCGATTAAATGGAGTTTTAATCGATTAAAACAGTGCCAAATACGTAGAACCCAATCCTCTCGGTTTAATCGATTATTTGGTGAAATAATCGATTATCTCGTACTGAACGATACGAAATAATCGATTATTTTGCTGTTTTAATCGATTAAAACAGTGACTTAGTATAGAAAGTGGTTTTCTCACTGTTTTAATCGATTATTTACCTATATAATCGATTAAAGCCGAGCCTGCATGATAATTTTGAGCATTTTGAAGCTTCTAAGTTACAGACTATGAACCGGCTAACTTTGACTCTATAATTACAGACTCAATCAAACTAAAACAGAGTTATTACAATACAGAAAACATCAATCTTCAATCTTCAATATTCTAAGTCTTTAGTTCTTGGATCATCATCAAAATCCATTCTTCATATTCATCAAGTGCAACATCAAGTCCTTGAATTGTCAACAGTCATTTCTCCCTTTTTACACACCCAGCAGCAAGAGCTCTCCCTTCTCTCTAGAATTTCTCTCTCTAAGAATCCCTCCGAGGCATTTCCGGAGTTTCTGAGCGTCTCTAGGCATACACAGAGTGTTCTAAATCTTCTTTAGAATCCCTCCGAGGCATTTCCGGAGTTTCTGAGAGTTGTAGAGTGAAGGGTTGCCAAAAAGCACCCACTCTTTTAAAGATATATATAAAGCTTGCTTTGAAGGTGCATATTCTCCCTTTATTTTTACTGCTTCCATTTAAATCATGCAATAGAATCTAGGGCCATGTAGTCATAAGTTTAAATACCGCACAATAAAAAGGGTAAAATCGCAATTTTCTAGTTTAATTATTCAAGCTAGCCAGCCTATCATAGGGAACCCGAAAGGGGCGTCGTAAAGGAACTAACACTTCCTTTACACGTAACTAACTCCCTTACCCAACTCTGGTTCTAATGACCAAAGTTGGTTTTCGAAAACCAACGCCTTTTTAAACTCCTTTTCTGATGTTTCCGGTAAAAACATCGGTGACGACTCCACGAACCCTTCAAAACCCGTTCTTGGGTTAGCCCGGTTATCGGACAACCCAAGAACACTTTTCGAAAACCTCGTCTCTAGGTTAGCCCGGTTATCGGACAACTTAAGGACGTTGTAACCACCCATAAAACGCGAAAATCAAGAGAGTCGAAAAAACCATCGCGTCGCTCCGACCGCGCCCCCTCTTCGGGGAGGCGGCGACAGATGGCGACTCCGCTGGGGAAGCCTAGAGAGTTGATCCCATTTAGTGATGGGCTGGCTAAAGGATAATTAAACCAAGAAAATAGCGCTTTTACCCTGCCTTGTATTATAACATGCTCTATTGTTTGGTTTCAAATAACTGTTGATTGTTTATACTTACGCAATTGATTGAAATATAAATTGCACACAAAACCCTTGCACACTACAGTTCCCTCTATACCCGGGGGCAAGTGAGATAACCATAGGGAGTGGGTGGCAGGTACGGTTCGCTGCAGTTAGGGCCTTGTGCCCACCGGTGTGATCGGAAACCACCACTCAAGGTGATAACCTTCCTCTTTTGGCAACAAGACCGAATCTGGCCTTAGTGCTGAGCATGGTTGGACGGCTGGAGAGTGGGGACCCTATAATGGGGGCACCTTGGGGGCCTTAGCCTGGTGAGAACAGTTAGAACCTACCCTAACCAATGCACCTTTCTGCAGGAAAACCCTACCTCGTGATAAAAATGAAGTCTCGCCTGTTCGGGGATGATCGAATTGTGTGTGCATATGATTGTTGCATTTGTATGTTGCATAATATAAACAAACAACAGAACTAAATCACAAAAAATCACCAAAAATATTTTTCGCAAATAAACACCCTTATCTCGGACAGTCTGCCTTTTAGCTAGCCTGGTTTCAGGTTCTTTGCAAGCTAAGTAGCCACACAGTTCCGACAGAAGAGATAAGGGACGCTAAATAATTTTTCACATAAAGCCGCATTTTATCTCGGACAGTCTGCCTTTTAGCTAGCCTGGTTTCAGGTTCTTTGCAAGCTAAGTAGCCACGCAGTCCGACAGAAGAGATAAAAGGCTATAAAAACAAAAAATAAAAAATAAAATAAAATACATAAATAAATCCAATAAACAATTTTGACAAAGTCGTATCATTCATATTGCGTCATAAGTGAAAAAAAACAAGAGAGAAAATAAATGCATAAGGAAAGTATGCATACGCATCATTTTAATAAACCTCTGAAAAGTGGGTCTTAGAAGCGTTTTTTGGGAAAAATAATGGGCCAAATCGCCTTCGGCAATTTATAGCTTGATTTCTCACCTTTTTCTCTTCGTTTTGGTATGTTGTCCGTCCAAATCGGACAACCCAGTCAAAAGTTATGTCACTTTGAACATCTGCTGCCCTTTTGTACTGGTGCATGCATAGATACATTCATTCTAGGGACCACTAGATATCCCTAAGACAATGGCGAAAGAGGCCCCAAGCACATCTGTGACCTTCACGACAAGGAAGGAACAAGTGTACTAAGGTGTGATGGTGATTCCCATTATACTTGTCAAGTCTGTGATGGGGAAGGAACCATTACACCAAGGTGGGTAGGATACCCCACAAAGCATAAGCTTTAAGGAGGATACATAAGCCATTGTCTTAAGGAATATCCATATCATAAATCATTCAATAAAAATCTCCTTGCATTCTAGAAAGTGACTGGTATTCTTCATGCCGTCATCCTCATCCAAAAAAAAAAATAACACAAAATACTAAACACTATCATACATCATGTTAGAAAATAAAACATGATAATGTTTAGGAAAAAACAAACACTTGCATACATGCAAACTTCATCCTCATAACATACATCTAACAATAGACAGTTGAAGAAGTGGACATTCCTCAATACCATGAAAAGAGGATTAGGGCATTCGCATGCCATGCACGGGAAGTCAAAAAGAACATAAATAGAAATTCTAACCTGCCTATGGGTTCATTTAGCTTCTCCACTTTAAAAGAAAATGTGTACTTCGAAACATTGCATTGAGGAATGTACACTGTCTGGATGAAATAAATAAAATTGTTTGTTTTCATCATCTCTTCAATCGTCTATTGCATTCATAAATTGCATTCACAAATTGCATTCATTCTCACTTTAATAATAATAAGATAATAAAAAGAAAGGATTAGTCGATGTGCTTTCCATGAATCAGAATAAGATGGAGAGTAAACCTTTCGTCGTCAAGTTATCTCCAACGGTTGATCCGCCTAAGAAGGATAATAAGCCTCAACCGTTGGGTATCCGAGTTAATAAGGAAGAGGGGGCAAGGATGTCGTTACATTCGTTCACCCCATACATCAAATAAAATTGTACCATGGAGATACGCAGAAACATCGTCCATCAATGAAGATATCTCCAGCATAGCTGCCATTGGGGGCAAAATTAGAAATAAAAGAATCTATTCTCCCGAGGAGCTACAAGACAATGCTCCCAAGAATAAAGGAAAAATAATAAGATCGAAGAAAAACATAATCCAAAAAGGAAATTGAAGAGACTTTTGGATTCACGACGCTGAGGCAATTCACGACGCTCCGCCAAAGAGACAAACTCAGGGTAGGCGACAAGCTAGTCACAGCTTAAGCTAGAGACGACATTCAGATCAGTAAGTCGTTTGCCCTACCTTGAATGGATGCGACAGAAAAGGACCTTTGAAATATCTTTTACCAATATGAAAAGACTTCCCCAACAATATGAAGGTGACCCACATAATATGGATATCGCCCAAACCAAGGGCTCATTAGAAACTCTCAAGGAATAAGGGAGCCACCAGATTTTAAAGACAATCCTTTGAAGTTTTACCCTGCAAAGGATCAAGCTACATAGAGAAAAGGGAAGTCTCCCCCCTGTACCTCAAATCAGATTTTCCCAAGCAGAGGGGTTTAAGCGTCAAAAGCGACTTTAGTCATTAGGTGTTCTCCTTCTAATTCTTAGGGATTGTAAATCCAATGACTATTAGAGATTACTCCTCGGGGCCAACCCGACCCCCGAGCATTATAGGGCACATATTTCCCTATTAATTACAAAGAATGTCATTCTTACTATCTGCTTCTCTTCTCGCTATTCATGTCTAAACCTCATTAATAATCATGTTTAAGCAAACGTTTCAAAAATGCGTCAAAATGCGCCATTGACCAAAGTAAAAGTCAAATCCATCATCACCGATTGACTAGAAACACAAAATAAAAGTTTTACCTCGTCATAAACAAAGCCGTGTTTCGCCAATGTTGTACAAAAAGAAAACAAAAATCAAAAGAAGCCCATAAAAGCTAAAGACCAAAAAAAAGAGCGCAAGATACCCCGTAGGAAACCCACAAAAGGGGGCTACGCAAAAGTTAGGGTTACAAAATAAGGTCCGCTAGGATTCCCCGAAAATATACAAAAAGAAGGAACCTAGACAAAAGATAGGGCCAAAACACAACATCCTAGACTGAAAACCCAAAGGGCAGACTAGGGAAGTCAGTCAGTCATAACAAGCGTCATAGAATAAGACGCCACTCCATAAACAAAACGTTGTTTAAACTAGCCTAAACACTCTAACCAACCTTGGCTAGCCATGCTTACAAAAACCATTTTTGTCAAAATAAAACAAATCTAAAACACAAGCCTTTGAATTAAATATCCTTTTCCTTCTCTTCTCTTGACCCTTACCACTACGACATTCTAGTAATTAGTAGGGAAGTATGGAGATAGTAATCAATAAGAGGATTAATATCCCCAAGGAAAGGGAGGGGCGCACTGACATGGCAAGTCGCTCTACAATTAAAACAATCATTCTTCGGTCATGAAAAAATCAAGACGGCAAAATGGGTACAGCCTCTCCCTGTCGACGAAAGTACATAACGTCAGAAGCTCATCAGAAGTAAAAGCACATTGGTTAATCCTTTTGAAAAATTAACTGAAATAGTATTATAGGATGCATATCGCCAACATTGCATGCATATGATAGGCTCCTATCTCTAAAAAAAGAAGAGAATCAAAAAATGACAATAAAAAGAATAATGCCTTCTAGGAGATTCTTAGGCAAAAGTTAGGGTAGCCCGCTAGATCGAAAATCCGCAAAGGGCGGTCTAGGCAAAAGTTAGGGCATCCATAAAAAAGGAAAAAGCCCGCTAAGATATCCTAGGCAAAAATTAAGGCAGCCCGCTAGATCGAAAACCCCAAAAAGGCGGTCTAGGCAAAAGATAGGGCTAAACCAAAAAATGAATAAAAGAGAGGGGCCTTTCATCATAATCATAAAAAAGTCCAGCAGGAGAATGCCAGTCACTTTTCCAGATGCATCAATCAAAAAGAATAGATTGCATTTAGGGCATCCACACACAAGTAGTCACACAAAACGACTTTGTCAAGGTAAAAAAAATAAAAAATCACTTCGAATAAAAAACAAAAACGAAAAACATTCATGCATATAAGGAGAATAGCTCCATGTTTGTGATTGAAAACAGGATCACTGAAACTGAGTCTCCAAATAATGCCCTCAAGAAAATGGAACAAGTCGTCAATCAAGCGGCTCATCGAAATAAGAGCTTATGAAAATCAAGAGCTCCAGCCACCATCCTTCTACCAAGAAAAGAAGGCACCAGAAAGTAATAAGTCTTCACACAGTGCTCTCCCTCAAGAAAGAAGAGCGAGTCGTCATAAGAAGCTTCCAGAAGCCAAAGCTCCAATCATCACCCAATAAAAGAGGGCACAATCATCAGACGTCATAAAAGAAAAGCCGATGGAAAGGCTTAGTCATCCCCAAGAGGATCCCTGCCCACTCTGAAGGCAACACAAAAAAAAATTACCCCACGACTCAGCATTACCACCACATGAGTCATCAAGCACACTCATCCAAAGTCTCCTCCACACTCCCCAATGGAGAATAAAGGCTTCAGGAGCCCATCATCATCAACAGCCAAAAGAGTCCAAACCATCAAGGGCTCAACATAAAGAGAAAAAAGAAGAAAACCCTTGCATCCCCAACAGATATCCAAAAGAAAGGGTCGCAACAGAGAAGGTCGAATGAAAATCCTCAAGTGGATCTCCTAAAAAGTCTACAAAAAGAAATAAGGAAATCTCCATCCTCAGTAGAATAAGAGTTTCATAAGGTCAGCTCGCCTCAACATTAATCAAGGAGCCAGGGCTCCATCCCAGAAAAATCGGATCCCCATAGATGTTAATAATCCCTTGATGGATCACCTAAAAATTTTATCCCCTGCGGATCCCCAAAGAGAAGAAAAAGCCTGCGTGCATAAAAAGAAACTAAA